TAGAGTCAGTGAGTGCGACAAATAATCGTATAGTATTGTCGTTAGCGACCACAACACATGTACTATTAGGCACACTCGTGTGGATATACAACACTGTCTGACGTCACAGCAATAATATCCACTCATGAAATTTCCACCAGACAAGCAAGAGCACAAGTCATTCCACCTATTGCTTTGCGAGCGATGTCGTACAGTGTTGCACTCTATAGCGATCAGACGCAGTCTCTTACGTGTAATCCGGTCGTCCTGGCAAGTTAACGTCACTATCCAAACCGACTCCACGACCCTTGAAAGATGGTAAACTACCTACAGAGGAGAAAAGAAGAAGTCGAAGAAATGCTTGACCGGAACAGTTTTGACTTTTTCAGGAAGCGCACTCTGCCTTGTCCCGGCAACCGCCCGCAACAACGGAAGGGGTTCTACATTCTACAGCACCACAACTGGCAAGGCAGTCCAGTGCCGACAGACGGGTACTTCGCTCTCCGACCATAACAAATTAGCCACGCGTATCAGAAGTTTGCCACAAATTCAAAAACGACCAGGTAAAGAAGGTAAGTTGAACTCACACTGCCATGCGTCGCTCGTCGCTGACAAGTGCTCATCAAGACGAGGCGTATAGTTTTGATTACAAAGGGCTGTGGACTAATGGTCTTGACACGCCTCAACAAATACAAGCCGAAATAGGGAGTGAAGAATTTAGCGACAGTTCAGACACTGCAAGCCACAGAGCAACGGACGAATGAATATCAACAGGTCGACAAATGAATTGCACGTGTTCTAGTACTTACATCAGTCTTCTTTCAACGGAACACGCTTCCACGTAACTCACGCATGCGCAGACCAACTGAGAATGGCAGCGACTTCTTCACTCGCCAGCAGGAGTCGTAAAAGCCCTGGTTTCGAGGAAAAAAAGAGAAAAAAACAGCGAAGGCATCAAGGTTAGGTACAGCTGCAATGGAGCAGTAGTGAAACACTGCAGGTACTACAGCTGTGTGGTTGGCGGAGAACAGATACCTGCCATGGCCCAAACCAAAAAAGAAGTTGATTCGGAAAGAAGATTCAGAATTTCTAGACAAACCCATGGCAAACGAAACCAACCACTTACTGACAATGAAGCCGCTGGGTGAAACTTCTCACGAGGCTGCTGTTACATAGCGCGAATCTATCTTTACAGGTACCAACCGTTTTGCCAGTCTTCTCCAAGACGCATAGCTTTTCGTCCAGTCCAGTCCCTATCTATTTCAGGCCACAACCGCTCTGTTAGCGAGCGGTGTAGGTACTGGTTCGCCAATATTAGAGGCTATCTGAAACTTTTCATGATGGAGCATCGTATGCGTCAAGACAAGTCACAACTCAGTTTGCTTCAGGCACGAATCGCCAACCATCAGTTAGGTCTTACTAACTTAGGAGGAGGAGAGAGAAAGCTGAAACGCAAGCCATCTCCGACAACAACATCGAGGAAAATGAGTCGCTAGGCCTCGGCTCGAAAGAACTTCTGCAGCTGCGTAGATTCTACCAATTCCCGGGATGTGCACGGGGTCATGGGGTCACGGGTTCATCTCCTGGTAGACTAGACTGCTGGATAAGCAGTTGTACGGTTCCAGAAGACTGGAGAGCATTACGTACTCGCTGTCTATTGGTCAACGTTGGCTGAAATTATGAGAAAGCACGTGGCAGACTTGACCCGAGTCACCCGAAAATCATGATGCGATATCAGAGCTAGCTACTAAGCTAGCTAGAGTCGAGAGGTTGGGCACAAAGAAAATTCGTAGCGCCGTAACGAGTAGATCTACTTTTAACGAAAAAAGCTAACGAATATTCGTAAACCGTGAGGTTGCGCACATTCTCCTACTGCCTGGAAATATGCTGTGGTTGTGCCCACAAACAAGAACAAGGGAAGCAGTCATGATCCTGGTAACTATCGCCCTATCTCTCTGCTGAACACCTATTCCAAGATACTTGAGAGAATCGTCTCTGATCGGCTGTAGCAGTGTAGGTCTACCATTATCTGGCACCTCTGCTCCATGATATGCAATCTGGGTTCCGCCATGGTTACTCCACCTCCCTACATCTAACCAACCTCGTCCAGCGACCGTGCACCTTCCGAGACCGCCGGCATTACCTTAGCCTGTGTTTCGTCGACCTGGCGAAAGCGTTTGATCCAGTTTGGCATGGGGGGTTACTACTGTACTAGCCAAGCTGCATGCTTACGTTATGGGGTTATGGGGTGGTCATCGGCCGCCTGCAGTCGTGGCTTGCCTCACATCTCAACAATAGAACAACAATACTCAATAGAACTCAATCAGTAAAGCTTGGTCTAGTCCTCTCTGATTCTCTCCCTGTTTGCTCTGGTGTACCGCAAGCGTCCACCCTAGTACCGCTACTGTTCCTGGCCTTCGTCAACGACCTCTCTGTCCTCAACCCTGGCGTGCCTCTGTTTGCAGACGACGTATATGCTGCGCGTGAACTTCTTCGTAGCAGGTCGACCATGGTCGACGCGGCGCGCACACGGGTGCGAAGAGTCAAGGCATGGAGTTGAAAATTATCAGTATTTTAGTACTCCACATTACGAAAAACATTTTCATAGATCTGTCTGTTTCAGTCACGTGTCGTTTGGACGGACCTTCGTAGCGGCTTTCGTTACTCGAACCCGGACGGTCGAAATCTTACGAATTTTCGTTGTGCGCAATCTCTCTACTATTAGTACTAATCTGTAGGGTCAAGTATACCACCGTGCATCGGAGCACCGCTGACCGGTTTGCAGTAGAGTAGATCTACTGTCGAGTGTCGGTCGCCGAAGAACTGGGCCCGGGGGGGGGGGGGGGGGGGGGGGGGGGGTTCAGCCCCGGAATTGTAGCCTACAAGTAATTAGTTAACGTCAAGACATGTACGAGTTGTGGTGTGAGCATGACTGGCACGTTTCTGTGCTATGCTGATGCATGGCCACGTGCTCATGGCCGCGCTGTTATTTCTGACGTGATGTGAAAGTTCAGCTCGCGTCATTTGGCTCGTGCGTTGGAAAACAACGTGAGTGACCTGCAGCTCACGTCGAAAGTTGGAATTCTACGCCAAACTTGACGTGAAATTGCGCGTCATGGAAGAATAACGTGCATCTTTTAGCCTCTCTATTGCAGTCCCCGAAGATGAGCGAACGTGGTCAGGGGTATTAGCCAGGCACACGCTGACGTGCATTCCAGTGGGTTACTTGGGTCAACATGAGTGTTCACTCGTGTCCAAATCGGGGTCGGTTAACCAGCTATGCACTCAAAATATCTCTTGGTATACTACAGTTGCACTCGATGAAATCCTACCCAGAGTGCACATTTGGCGCCCTCAATCTGCACGACCATTGACGCCCTGGAAGTGGCACGAATGCGGCCGGTTGTACACATGTACAAATACTTCAGCACAAAGATGTAATCGGGACGTGTCCAGGGCACCAGTTTTGCACTTCGGGTGTCGGATTTCAGCGAGCACTGTACTCTGTACTACAAACAGAAGGGAACATGCATAGAAATCACAGCACCCTACACACAGCACACGACACACAGATCACAGCACACAGATCACAGCACACAGATCACAGCACACAGATCACAGCACACAGATCACAGCACACAGATCACAGCACACAGACACAGCTCACGCACACACACACACACATACACACAGACACACCACAGCACACACACACACACCACAGCACACACACAGACACACAGCACACAGACACACAGCCACACACAGCCACACAGCCACACAGACACACACACAGACACACACACCACACAGCACACAGACACACACAAAACACAAACACACACAGCACACACACACACAGCACACAGCACACAGCACACAGCTTCCTGTACACTGTAGATATCAATACAGGACATTAAAAACAAGTATGATAAATAGGGGTGAAAGTTGGCACTGAGATCCCGAGTTTGAGTGCTCTGATTTTCCTTCAATCGAATGTTGATTGGTGGGTCATTTGGGCTCTCTCACTCGTGTACAAATGTTCACCACACAGTCTTCATTTCAATATCTACTGACTGCTCCTCTGAAACTGCAGATTTCTGTGGTAAATGCATGTACCATGTAAAACAAGTACTAGTAATCTGATTTATTTCGAATACGATTATTATTGAAAAAAAACGAGCGCGTACTCGAATCCAATATTCGGTATAATTGTCTCACCCCGAACGATAAATAAATCCAGAAAGTGAAGCCATTACCCACAAGAATTGGGCATTTTCTATACAGCATATGCTCCAGCAGCGAATCATCCAGGAACAGAATGTCCTCCATTGCATCTTCATTGTTAATGTGCTCACTTTGTCAAGTGCACTGCAGGCTGCTGCTGCTGCTGCTGAAGACTGAGCCGCTCTGACTGATGCTTGGCATTGCTGCTGTGAGCAGTGTGTCCACTGGTTTTCAAACTAATGCACTCAGTGTCTGGTGCAGCAGATGCAGAGTGTGTTGCTGCCATGGCAACTGCTCTTGCCGCTGTGTCTGCTGCAGTGTTAGCTGCAATGGTAGCTGCAATGGCAGCTGCTCTTACTACAGTGGCAGTTGCAGTGTTAGCGATGGCGGGCTCAGCTGCTGTATCTGCTGGGGTAGCTACTGGCCTGCTACTAAGCGGCCATCAGCGCGGGCAATGTTGCAGGAGCAGGATCCATATCCATGATACCCTCAAAGATCTATAGTGACAACTTGGCAGGTGAACTCCTGCATCCGTCAACACAGGTCTAGCGGCTGTACTGATCATTTCGTACACGGTAGGTCACTAAGGTCAGGAAAGCGATTCTTTGCTCTGGACAATTCCAACAGCAACCGTTGCTCGCATATACCAGCAGAATGCTGGCTGCTGCATTGTTTGAGCTGCTACCGGATATGTACATCCGTAGCATTCTGTCACACCACAGTTAGTGTTATTGTGATTTGCCAAGAATGTGCAAACATGCTATGAAGCCACGTTCATCGAAGCTTGAAGGGAATGGCAGATGACACAATTTGCACAGGTAAGCTGTACAGGAACCAGCAGAAAAGAAGCACACGCACACACACACACACACACACACACACACACACACACACACACACACACACACACACACACACACACACACACACACACACATACACACACATAAACACACACACACACACATACACACACACATACACACACACGCACACACATACACGTGCACAAAGTAACCATGTGAGATTACATACACACACACACACACACACACACACACACCTAAAGGAGGCCTATTGGTATTTGTTGGATCTCTGCAGAGAGTCGAAAAGCATACTTGGTCCGCGTCAGCGATATTGTCGCTTATCTTTCAGCTTTGTTTATATGTCGCCAATGCTTACTTGGCAGCCCATTTCATCCCAATTTCAGGGCTCACGGTTGGGATGCCAAAACTCGATTACGTGGGAGGACATCTTGAAATCTGATCACCATAGAAATGAGCTCGCGTGACTCGAGCTATGCACGCGGCAGTGCACGCCTACGCGGCGCGGAGCACAGCAAGGACTCGAGAGAGTTGCAGTGACCTGGTGACTGACAAGAAGAAGTAGAACTGAGGAAGACGGAGACCGGCTGGGGACTTGTGTTTCACTTTGGTTGCCGTTCACTGTCGTTGTTATTGCTTCTTTCCGAGCGAGTGTGTTGCGAGCAGTGCTGGCCTCGTAAGCCGAAGGCTTCAGACAGTTCGTTCGCACGCTGAGTCCTGCGATGAGAAGTCGCGAGTTCTGCCGCCGAGTCTTTGCTGAGAAAGGGATCGACATCTATGTCGTCTGCTGGTGCAATAGCGCAGGTGAGGAGAGGTAGAGGACAAGAGCTCCTTGATGGAATGAAGCAAAGACTCACACCGTGTTCTAGTTCGTTATCTCTGTTCTCAGAGCGTTTTGTAAATGCACTTACACGAGTGAAAGAGCCGTGCCACGCTGCTGTGAGAAGTGACGATGGAGAGATGTGAATTATTTGATTTGCCACTCTCTTTCGTTGCAAGAGGACGAATCAAATGGCTTCGCCGTTGTACTGGTTATGTATTTTCGGTTTGCCATAGCTGCTGAAGCACACAGCAGTAGAGCGCCGATGAGCGAGACAGCAAACGGTCAATAATATTTCAAGAGTTTGTCAGTCACGGAGGAAACATTGCAAAAAAACGCCTTGCTGCTGCCTCGCTGGTGTAGTTTCCGCATCGTACAACGCATATGCACAGGCTTCCTTCCTTGTCGTCGCGCACGGGAGTTCGCGTGCGCCCCTGCCGACTTAGCTCACTTCAAAACAGAATAAGGTAGCACAATATTGGCCGATTTTGACAATCGATGGCTCAAAATCTTCAGGAGATACTAAGCTATAGTTTAACCGAAGCGATTTTTCCCTAGATGAAGGGATCGCTGTAGAGCATTCACGGACTTTGTGACAATATCTTTAGTTTCCCAGGGCCAAAATCAAAAATTCCTTCGGTTGAACCGCTAGTTCACATCTTGCCTGGTTCCACCCAAATTTTCAGTGTCGTACTGTCTACCCGTGCTACCTTATTCTATTTTGAAGAGGCATGTGTCGCACTGAAAATGCGCTGCAAGATGACTAGAGTTTGTGTACAAGGGGTGGTTGAGCTGTGGTCGCGTGACAGTCGACCTGTCGTCGCGTGAGCTGGCCAGAAACAAAATGGCGCCCACGTATTTGTACACAACCGTGAGCCCTGAATTTTGGTTAGCAAGTTAGTTTGCTAGTACCTGAAAGGTCTAGCTAGAGTTCGAGTGGATTTCGAGAGCGACAGGTGGGTGACTCTGATTGATACAGCGCCGCATCAAAATAGATTATCTTTTTACGCTGTGCAGGCAAGAGCAGCGCAAGCCACAAGAAACTAATCGGCTACTCGGAATCAGCTCCATTTTGCTGAACGGCCGAGATCGCTCACCTCAGGGATCGCTCATCAAGCTGAGATCGCAGCACCCTTACCTCCAGCTCAACGCTCGGAGTATCCAGCGCGTCGTGGAGATTTGCAAGTACTGTACGCATCGTCGTCGTTCAAAATAAAATCTTGCAAAGAACGGCGTCTGATTTGAACCACACAGGCTGTCGTGCTGCCCACGCGAAGTCCTATAGAGAAGGCGACCGTCACGATAGACTTCTCTCTAGAAAATAGACATGCAGCGGAGAGGAAGAGAGATGAGCTTGCAAAAGCAAGAGAGTCAATCCCGAGCAAAAATATTTGTTGCCAGCGCCGAGAGCAGCAACGAGGAGGACCGAAAAAAGTAGGAACCCTTCCTTGGACAATAAATTCCTCGCAGCTAGTTGTCATTCTATACCTTACCGTCCATCGTACCAAGTTTTATCACTTCAAGTGCACGCGTTCAGGTCCAAAGTCTAAGTTCAAATTGTCGAAAGATAAGCGACAATATTGCTGACGCGGACCAAGTAATTACAAGCGGTCGCAGAGGACTCGCGGAAGATATATGCCACCACCTACAGGAGGGTTGCCATGATGACAAAGCGCCGTATACTTCAGCCGTTAGGCGCTGCATCTGCCGCTAGGGTTTACCGGGTGTTAGCGGCCGTCGTGAGTTCCCTTTGGGAACGGACACGATAATTTACTTTTTTTACTTTACTTCAGCGCCAGCAGAT